CATTTTATATTTAATAATCACTACATACTTTACTTTTATTATTCATGTGCAAAGTTCTTTTTTGTCCCTGGCTCAGTTCAGAGTGTTGACCAGCTTACTCATGAAACACTAAACAAATGTTGTACTTACTCACCTTCTGGATTCAGTAACTTTTATTTGACACAAGAAATACCAGAATGCCTGTATCTAATAATATCCATCATGTATTGGTCTAAAATAACCCTTTTTCCTTTCACGCCACATCCCTTGACTAGCTGTCAGTTTTAAAACCAATATCTCTGAATGCTCTCATCACGTTCACAAATGATGAGCTTGCATCATAATTATTAAATATATATAGTTAGGTATAAAATGATTTTTTTAATCACTTAAACTTTGTAAAAGATACCATGAACATGTTATATATGAGCTTATAAATCAAGAATAAAAATCTATATCTGCATTGATAAATGACATACTAAGGCAGATTAATTTCAGTAGTATTTTTAAGTACTTACTAATACCTTTCTAAAGCTTAACAGTCTGTCAAGGTTTCTTCTTATTCAGTACTGTAAACCACTTTGTGACTTTTATTGTTGAAAAACACTGTAAAATAAACCTTACTTACTTAATATATTTAACATGTTACTTAAGATTTGAAAACATCTGGATAAACAGCATCATTTTACCCCTGACAGCCTTCGCAATTCACCCCACACCAAATGGAACACATTTTTAATGTGCAGCATGTTTTCCTGATAATATTTACACAAAACTGATTAAGAGGCATAGTCAAGGTTGTTGACTGCATGTTTCCATTTCTCCCACCACACAACAATTTGGGAGAAAACTCCTCATCATAATTTAATACATAATGCTGTTTTGAAGTGGACACTGTACTAAAACATGCAGTGTTAATATAAAAGCTCTATAAAAAAAATATTCAATAGTAAACTAGAAGTTTTGCCTACCTTTTTTTTGCAATCACTGGAGATGACATCACTCCTCTCAAGAATATCTGCAAATACACAAAATGACAGTCATGTGTCTTTCAGCCAAAACCTTTTATATGCATGGCCACCTCAAACTACAAACAGCTGACAAATAAAAACATTTCAAAGACCCAGAACGATTGAAGAGAGACACAACGAATGAAGTAGTCGACACTGAATTGTGCTCTGTGAAACGTATATAAATACTGAGTAGGCTCAAATAATTCTAATTTTATATGAAGATAGAAAGAGGGAAAAAAAGATAATTGAGTTCTACATTTAGATCTACAGGAAATGCACCAGTATATACGACTTTAGCATAAGCATTTTTTCTATTATTAACCATGAGTCAGTGCCTGATCGAGTCTACTATTACTGACCAAGGACATGTGTGGTAGGGATCACAAGACCAACCTACCCTACATCCTGATCCAGACTTACCCTAAACTTCACCTTCAATTTATCCAATATAGGCTTGATTCCGTTCCATTAAAAATCTCATCATTCACTAACTAGGTTAAGTGGCCTGAGGTTTTCAAACCCCTCACTACAAAGATGAATGCACAAAGATGAATTCAGTGGTGTAATAAGTGTAGATATGGTGGTATTATCTTTCATTCTCAACATGTGTTCAAATGCATGTGTGGCATACACACCAAGAGAATTGTACATATCTGAATAAAAAGCTATGGGGGGCTTTTTGCTGGCATGGCTTTTGTCCTCTTATCTTCCTATAATGACAAATGTTCCTCTCCAAATGGATGCAAAGCATTCCTGAGTGGCACCCTTTCTCTTTATTGTCTCCCAAGAAGACGTCATCCATACTGGAAGAGGAGTTACAGGCAGAGCTATGGCTTTCACAGTCACAAGATCTCTACCCAGCTGGAGACCTGCTGAAAACTGAGGCAAACAGTTTCTCACAATTTTAATGTTAATACCATGTTGTAAAATGCAAACAGTCCCCTGTAGAGGCTTTTTATTCTCTCCATTCCTTATCACTTGGAAGGTGTTAACCTTGATTTTGTCACCTGTCTAGACTCTTTCACATCTGGTCTTTTATCACTATTGTATCTCTAAATACTGGTACCCCCATGGTCATTCACCAGGCTTTTGTGTCTATTCTTCTCCTTATGTAAATAGAGAAACCCCCACTTGTTTCTGTTACCCCTTTTGTTCTGTTCCCTTTCCCTGGAGTTTCCTGCATAAAAGTCTTTAAGAAAAACAAAACAGTCTCCCCTATTTTCAAATAAAGATTTCTCCTCTGAATCTCAGACTAAAGCTAAACTTTTCCATTACTTTGTAAACTTTCCCATTTCCAAGTGCTGCTTAGTTTACAAAGTAAACTTTTCCATTGGAAACGTTTTGCATGCAATGAATAATATGTCCATTTGTTGTTTAAGGTTTGATGATTCAGATTTATACCTTTGCTCGATCCTCTTTAAAAGAAAATACAAGAAATCTTGTGTCACAATATTTTACTTTTTCTTTGACCATTTGGCTGAAATTCGCAGTTGCCCACAGTTAAGCCAGAGAGGTCCAGTATATAGCATATATATATATATATAAAGACATTATTTCAGTTAGTCATTTGATTTATTTAGTTGATATACGTTTTTAATAGAATTCTAAAGCATTTGTGTTTTGTTTTTATGAAAGGTCATCTAATACATTTAAGCACTGCAAACTGTGTGTCTGAGATCACGTGGGGAATAGAATGGAAAAGATAGAGTAATGCCGATAGTGTGTTCATTTTGATTCATCAATCTGAGTCCCAATTAAATGCTAACCGGAGTAGGAAGTTCCTTATTCGGTCCTGATCACCATTTTACTTTGGAATGTGTGAACCTTGATCTTGTTACTTGTCTAGAGCCTTTCACCCTTTGTAATTGTTATCTGAGTCTCTAGATACCCTGTGGAGCAGACTGCCTGACAATCTTCAACACCTTTTGTCTCATCTTTTGTTCTTGATATGTAAATTTTGCCCTCCAGTGGTTTCTATAGCACCACCCTTGCTTGGAAACCGTGTGAATAAAGAGCATTCTTTTAGAAGGTTTTGTGTCTGTAAACCCACTGTATGTCAGTGTAGTTCATAAACACACTACCCCTGCAAATACTGGGTAACAGAACATTTGAGTTATTATATATAGTTTGTTGTACTTTGAGTGTACTCACTGTGACAAGTGGGGCATCTTTTCCCATTGTATTCAAATCTTGTAAGGGTCATGTCAAAATCTGAGATGACCTGGATCAAAAACAAGATAAAAATCATTAAAGAAATAATATTCTATTTTCATACTGGGGTGAATATGTTTATAAGAGGAGTGAGTGGTGTGGATACCTGCAGGGTTTTGGAGCCAGCCTTCTGCATGGACTGCAGGATCTCTTGTACCCTGTCACGGTCCTTCATGTGCAGCTTGGAGAACTTTTCAATCTGTGCAGGCAGAATATATGTTGATGAGACAGATGGTGAGGTGAAGTCCAGGTGCTGATTATAGCATGTGTAAAGCTCAGAGTTTGGCTAAATTTAATTGACAGTAGTGCGATAAAAACCAGTCCAGCAGGATAGGTGCTAAAATCAGGTTTTTAATCTCCTGACTGGTGAGTATCAAACACGGACAACGCTGCGGGATTAATGCTGACTCTGCAGTTCTCATATGAACAAAAGCATTCAGAGGAGAAAGCAGTAGCATGTTAACACTGAATTCCTTAGCCATAGACTTTCTCTGGCTTTTGCTAGCTGGAAAAAAAAACTAACCAGTATAGAAGTATGCTTGAAGGATTTGTGAAAAAACATACATTTTTAAACTGTATTTTCAATGAATTAACTCTTTTTAAAATGTGTTTTATTTTAAACAAAACGAGGTATATGTAATTGAAATATGTCAAATACTAAATAAAAAGATAAGTCGGAAATACATGAGGCAGAAAGAGTCCTTGTATTTGAAATTAAACGTGTGTGTCCATAACGTCCTGTGCACCTGCTTAAGCCCCATACTGTATTATTAGGAGGAGGAGCCAAGGGTAGAATGAGAATTAACAATAAATGAATGAAAAACAAATGAAATTTAAAAAAAAAAAGATCATTACGAAAACAAAACAAACAAACATAACGAAACGAAGTCTTACACTCCTCGCCACATGCCACATTACCAGTGGGGGGTTAGAATGGGTACTCATATTGGCGGTGGTTGAGATTGGTTTTTCACAATTTGGAGTCATATACTTTAACTCTCATGATCATCCTGTTTGGATTTCAGTCTTATTTTATTCTCTATCCTAAGCTTAGCTGGACTGTGAGAGTCTCGACCGACGGTCACAGCGTTGAATGTCTTTGTGTAACATTTCAATTAGCGAGAGTCTGGTATCAAATGCGGAAACGTTATTTTCTATTGATAAGTGGGTATCGCTCACCTTTTGGAAGAAAATCTCGAATGGTGTCAATTCAGAACTGTCCTTTTGTGTCATTTTTGGTGAATCACTACGAGGTCTTTTGGACTTTTGTGTTTGACTGGCAGTTTTACGTTTGGTAGGTTGACGTTTGTTCTTGTTTTTCCTCATGGTGAAAATTCGGTTTAAAAAGCCGCCAATGAAGTCTTTCTATTCACTCGGGTCAGTAAATGGTGGGGATTCCAGGATTTTGAAGAGAGACTAGTCTTGTAAGTAGATCAGAAGTTTTGTTTAGGTTCTAGCTAGTGTATGCCGCCATGTTCAATCTCACAAAGTCTCACGAGAGTTGCGTTCACAGGTACATCCTCACAAAAAATCCGTTAAGTCTGATTTTTTTTAAAGCCCCCTATCGTGAGCTGTCAGTATACGCTTATTATTTATTCTACACGGCAACAGTTTCGTCTTGAATTCCTTTGCTATTTTTTGTTTTTCTAACACAACATCACAACTGTCCGCGATATCGCATTGCTTTTGACAGAAAGAGCATGCGCATTCCAAGAGGCTACGTTCCCACGCTGCAACGTGAAAGAGCAATGCAGAAGACTCTAATGCTGCCTGCTCATAATTTCATCAACGTTAAATTGTTCGGCAAATGAAGGATTTCTGTTTCATATTCAATAGAAGAGACATGACTTCTGCAACTGGTCAGTGTTTTACGCACTGCTTCTTTACAGATAAACTACACAATAAATTAAAAAAAAAAAAATCAGTTTATTCTCAATTTACTATCTTCAGAATGATTTTACTGGTATAGTAATAGAGTAAGTTGTGGGATATACTTTAGCTGCTCCAAGGATAACATCAGAGACTGAGTTAAAACTATATTCATATTCTAAAAAAATATTAGAGAGGTGATGTTAATAGATAAGTATGAACTGGAGAAAAAGTACAACCTTTGAAAAGAGGGCAGAAAGACAAAGAGTGCCTTAAAGAACATTTCTGCCAGCTATCTTTGTACAAATGTAACTGAACCTCATGCCAAGTAATGAAGAGATAACATGAATTCAAGGAAATGTGAACTGAAATATGAATATATCTCAGTTATATTATTAATCATCCTCCCATTCTCAACTAGAGCATCATGCTCTAAATAATTCATAAACAACATGCCTGTTTGCTTGTTGTTGTTTTGCCTTTTTCATCTCTTTCATCTCTACATCAGTCATATGAAGTAAGCGCTGTTGATGAATACAATATTACACTGAAATCAATTTGTTGTGGGTAAAGCCTGTGGTGACATGAAATAGTCAGTAAATATAAGGAGTAGAAAGTACAAAGGTATTAGAAGAAAAGAAAACTCTAAATGTATTTCATGTCCAGCAGAATTTTAATACTGCTTTACTGTTAACAGCATCACATTCTGCTAAAATCAATTGGTTTCTGTTTTGTGAATACATTTATTAAGACATCCTAAATAGAATAAAATGGGAATACACACTACACAAAACACTGACAGTTGCAGAGGTCTTGTCTGATGTATTGAACATGAAACAGGTATTCTCTTACGAGGTGATTTAGTCCAGATGCTGGTGTCACAGGTTAATCTGGTTGGACTGTCACACAGCACAAGCGGAATCACATCCCCTCGGTCTGAGTGCAGATAATATAAAGTATATGCTTTAGCTGTAGTGCCGACCATTCTCAAATCAAGTGATAGTTTGTGGGGAAAATAATGATGACAATAACGTTTTCCAAACAGTATATGAACAGGCATCGGCGCGGCCACCAGCTGAGCTAGGCACGCTTTTTTTTAATTATCCAAAATACATTAAAACAGACTTTTGCGTCGTGTTAAAAAATCAAAAGGCAAATAAATGCATTTGTAAAGACGAAATATTTAGATTTTCCCGGTTGGTCGTTAGTAGCTTCTAAAGAAGTGTATGACACATCTGTTTGACTGTCACCAGCAAATCTGAGACACCACTTAATCTGAAACACCAGTATTGTCGTTACTGTCGAGATTTTTGGTGACTATTTTACGTGGTAAATAGTTAATGTTAAACAAGAGACTGAAAATATGAACTTCACTACGCGTTATTAAAATGGTTATAATATTGCGAATTAAATAGCACAGTGACAGGGTTTCAGGGTGTAACTTCTTTTTGAAACCAAGCAAAAAAAAAATTACCAGTAATTTAACATTGTGTTAGAATATTCATGCTACATGATTGAACCGTTTTCTTTTCATAAATGATGTGATTTCCCTTCTTAAAATGCCAAAAGAAAAATCAATACTGTAATGTTTCCTACATTTAGCTCTCTGTCAACTAAAATAACACAGACTTTTGGACTGTACACAGTCCAGTAATGCAATGCAAGCAAATGTCTTACAAAACAACTTTAATTTCAAGAGATGACATTAGCATTTCATACATCCAAGGACACAAAGTGTTGACTATCACATGCAAAGCAAATTACATAGCTTATTTCAGTTAATATTTGCAGTGCCATTTATGTTAGGTCATAAAGTGGAAATGAATATCATTTCTCCGCTCCGTAACCCTATACTGCTATAATTAGCGCTGCTTGAGTGGGAATTTCTGAATGTCAGTCACAACACATTCATAAAACAATCCCTTTTGTTTTAAAGTTTTATTCCTTGTTTTTCTCATTTCTACGTCTCTTTGGCGGGTAAAAGGAGTGTTCCGACAGACAGAACTCCAATATACACCAAACTTTTACCAGACATTTAATGTTGGAAACTAATCCACCTGCAATGATAACATTGTTGTTTCCAAGAAGAGTAAATCTCACTGACTGCAAGACAGCTAAAACAAAGCCTTTGCAATATACAATCAGCTCGTCTGATATGAAATACACAAAACAAGTCAAAGTGCAATGGCAACTTTTTAAAGACTTTAGAAGTTAAAGAGTGGCGTTCCACAGAAGCTTTTCCCATTCTTTGCAGAGTGATAACCAAGCCCTACACATCCTCCCACACTCATACATAAAGATTAAATATGTCTTTGTTGAATGAATGGGAATGCACTGGGCAATAGATAACCAAAGTGCAAAAAAAGGAATGATTAAGCTGCTGCTGCTGATTGGTCCTTAATGCAGTTGCAGAGCAGATTGTTTCAATGTTAGCTTACTCAAAGGAATGATTTCATTGCATCTTATCACATATTTTGGGATATTACGGTCCTCTCATCTTTTCACCTCGTCAAAAAAACTTGGAGAAACATTACTATTGTTACATGAGCAAGAAAAGTTACACAAATATATAACTGTCTACAACTAGTCTACAGGATTTTATGATTAACAACCTCCTCGTGTTAATTCATATTTAGTTTTTGTGCCTGTACAGTAACAAGCAAAGCCGTAGTAACAGAGCAGTTAAGATACAAGGGGTTTGGACCGATTGTCACAGTGTTACAATGGAATGAGAGTTCATTAAGAATGCAGGAATGCAATTATTACTAATGCCACGTTGTCTTCCAGTACAATAAAGGAATGTAAAATATCCATAGAAATGTATACATATACAGCTTTTATACTATTTACGTATAAAGAGATAAACAGCCGCTTTAACAACATAAATGGCTAACAGATATTTAGTTGTTGGCTGCACTATAACACTCTTATTCACATATTTATAATCACATCCCTCCTCACAGACCACCAGCAGGACAGCACACACCTGCCCACATATTTCATGGCTTTCCACAAATGAGCCAATAACACAAACACAGCATGAAAGCTGATGACACACAGTTCAGATTAATGAAATCCAGGACGAGAGCAACAGGACCTGCTTTAGTGAATGACTCAAGGTGGAGGACAGTGGTAGCTGCATTGAAATTGGGGTTTGCAGGAAATCTTCAGACAAAATCACAGTGGACAGTTCAACACTCTATCTGCGACTGGAGCTGCCGGCGCAGGGTGAGGGTGCGCCGGTGAAGCTGCTGCATCTGCTGCATGCGATCTCGCTGGCGGGCAAGGTTCTGGGGCATGGGGTACCGCTGGCAGCCGTACAGGAAGCGGTACGGGATGCGGACGTGGCAGGCAGTAGCTCGACAACGAGGCTGAGGCATGGGTGGCAGCAGCATCCATCGCTTCCTCTCGGCGCAGTAACGGTAGGCCTCCTTGCGGTACTGCTTGTCTACATCGTCGCTGTTCTTCCAGCCCCCGATGATGAAAACATCCTCATCAAAGTGGCAGATTGCAGCACCCTCAATGCTGGTTACCTCTGGTGGAAGGCTTTCTAGGATCTCATCAGAGATGCGCACACTAATCTTCTGCCTGGCAACCTCATCCCGAACTGTGTAGCTTTTAGGACAGCAGGAGGCTGTGTGGTAGAAGTTAGTGGATGCCACAGCCATCTGGAAGATACAGTAGTTGTCAATAAGAGGCAGGGAGTCAACATCCTGCCACTGGCGACTCTCTGTGTCATAACGAGTGGTCACCGTCTTCAATCCGTCATCATTATCTGTATCGACGGGTGTGCGTGCTGTGACATAAACATAGCGGTCCTCCACACTCACTGCCTTCACGTCTCGCAGGATTTTGGGAGCAGATTCCAGATTGTGCCACTTATCCTGCTCTGGCTCATACACACTGACATCCTTGAAACCCGGGCTGAAGTTGCCATGGCCACCAATGCTGTATAAGATATCCTTAATGCAAGTCAGGCCAAAAGAGTGCTTGCGTGTGGTCAAGTTGCTCACCTGCTCCCAGGTGTTACGATTAGGGTTGTAACGTTCCACAGTCTTAGCGAAGCCTGGCTCCATAGAACCAGCTACATAGACGTGGGACTCTGTGGCAGCGATGGCGTGGCCATCCAGATGGTTATGGATGTGAGGCAGATTGACCCAACGGTCCTCATAAATAAAGTAGCCCACACATTCGCTAAGGTAGTCGCCTCCCTCTGAAACTCCACCTACTACCATGATAACGTCCATATTTTGACCAAAGCGAGGCTGAAAGGAGGCCATGTGCGAAGACCAGAACTCCATATCAGCCGACTTGAGGTTTTCAAATCTAATAGCATGGCCCTCTACTGCCTCCGACACCAGCCGCAGGCAGGCCTCGTTGGAAGCCACCAGTCGTTCATTTTTCACCACTCTGGTCAGGTAGGTGGGCTTGATCTGGGGCAGCCTCAGGAGACGAAACAGCTCTTCAAAATAGCGGCTTCTCTCCTCTGGGTTCTTCTGCACCCACTTCACCACAGCCTCAAAAAGCACTTCCTCAGAATCCACGGTTATCTCTGCATCTGATAGCCAGTCACGCACCAGGTGAAAGGGGAGCGTGTAGAACTCCTCATCCTGGATAACCTTGTGGAAGTTGCGGCGGATCATGTCTGCAGCCCGCAGAGCCAGCTGGTCCAGGGTGTACATGTGAGCCAAGCTGTGGACGGCCACACAGTTGGTCAGACTCAGCTTTTTCTTAAGGAACTCTCCACAGAAATCTTTCAGCTGCAGCAGCAGGAACCTGACAAAGTAAACAAAGGAAATACAGTAAAGATTAGACAATGAAATTTCCTGCCAACTACA